GCTCGCGTTTGGGTATCATATTTGGTCTGCGGTGCCGGCTTAGTGGTATGCTCATATGTCTTGTGAATTCTAAAGTAGTTAGTTATGATTTGCTTTTGAAGTTTTCCCTAATATATCGATGCTTCTATGCACAGTTAGTTGTTGTTTATATAACGACCGACGTCTTTCATCGTGCGTACTTATATTATAAACGTTCACACCGGTATTATATGCCTGTAGTCTTTCCACAAAATTGTGCGCTGACATAACCAAGCCATTTACTCTCGCAGTGATCAAAAGCTTTTATACAGTATTTTTGATAGTCACTTGTGAGCGTAAACTTAGAATTGGGTCTATCCAGCCATTTAAGGACGGGGGGGAAGGGGGGGGAGGTTTGAATTGTTGTAATCAGTGATTAGGACTGTTCTCAGATTTGCTGCGAATCTATTGAGTAGCGGAATGGTATGCTGATAAGCGATACAACGTCTACGTCCCATGTCAGTTGGTTAGTTCAGTTGCGATGGTTGACCCACACCACACCCTTGCATGTCTAATGCATTCTGCGGCTAGGTTCGAGCATCCAGAAAACGTCTCATTTTGGTTAGCATTTTCCACGATATTCGGTATGTTCTGCGATTAAATCAATTGTTACTGATTTCTATACAGCGAGGGCGTAAATGTGACAGTCGCGGGCACCCCAAAAAACACAGAACGCTTTGTACAGGCGCTACTCTCTCACCCAGTTACGCTATTGGGTGCCAAGGATATCAAACGCAGTGTGGCATCTCGACACCCTTCGGAAGTATTCGATGCTTTAACTGTCAATGTGCATCCCGAGATCGTACCGATGGGCGTTCATAGTGGTATGTAGTGATGAATGGGTATCAAGCATGGTGTGTTTGTGTGCAGCCTTGATTGGCGGATTAATACGCCTCCTGAAGTTGTATGAAGGTCTTACATGTTAACATAGGTTTTCTCGGTAGCGATAGTTTTCATAACTTCTTAAAATTCCGGGCAGAAACACTGACGTGTAGCTGTAAACGTATGAGTTTGTAAATATTTTTCCGCCAACAACATATTTCATTTGCACGTGTTCTATCAAAAATGGTCAAAATGTTTCCTCATAAAATCTTCAAATGACGATATATCGAATTACGAAGTACATAAGTCTACACTGCCAACAATCATCGCCTCTACGTCAGTTGTCTGTAAAAAAATTATCCAACATCAGCACCGTGTTGTTCAACCAGGATGAAATATATGCGACACCGTAGTGCGTATTGTACATACACATACACATACACACACGCATACATACATACACACACACGCGCGCATGCACACACACACGCATGCACACACATACACGCATGCACACACACACACGCATGTACACACGCACACGCACACGCACACACACGCACA